AAATTGTGCTGCTATAAACATAGGCACACATATATCCCTATGATATGATGTTTTCAGATCCTCTGGGAAAATTCCCAGTAGAGGAATAGCTGGTTGAAATGGGACTTCCAGTTCAACTTTTCTAAGGAGTCTCCATACTGATTTCCATAATGATTGCACCAGTCTACATTCCCACCAGCAGTGGAGAAGAGTTCCTTTTTCCCCAAGCAGGCACTTTAAACTGCTGAGCTATCTGACCAGCCCTGAAGCAAGATAGTTCTTAGTGTATTTAAATTCAAATTATGAATGTCAAACTGAAAACATTCAGTTCAGAAAATTTCAAATTCTTTGAAGGTGCTCCAGGATTCCTGAAAATATTTTGGTAAGGTTAAGAAATATGTGTATCAGATTTTCTTACTCTTCTTGAGTCTTTGGTTTAGTTTAATTCAAGAAAAAATAATTCCATGCTGTTTTTAATAATTCCAAGAAAAGCTCCACTTACGTTGTTGAATGAAAATGTTCTACAAGTCATCAAGAATAAAAACAAAAGGGGATGTTGAGAATGCAGCATTCTCAATCTTCAGGGACACTTTAGCTTAAGAAGCCTCTCCATTTCAAAAGAATGACACATTGACATTATAAATTTGAATCAAGATAAAATGTATACTTGTAAAGTCCTACTGAGCAGCTTCAAATATTGAGATCCAACATAAATTAAAATTAGATGAAAAGCTGATTTAATTGCTTATAGTTTATAAATCTCCTTCCAGGTCATATACTTTAATTTCTCCTGTGCTAATCTGCCTAGCAAAACAAAAATAACAGTTAAAATAATTGCTCTCATTTGCAAAAGACTTTCTCTAGTGATTATGTTATCATCCTAATATTAATGAAGTTTATTGTTTTTAAAGTATATAAGGTAATGGGATCATTGTGCTTTATGTCTTTTAAAAACCTAAAGCGCTAAACTCTAAGTAGCCCACAGAATATTTAATGTATTTCTTAAAAACAGACTTCATGCAGAATTATTCAATTTGTAGCAAATGTAAGAACATAAAAAGCCAATGAATATTACCTAGGTCTTATAATGTTTTGTATAGTTTTATAGATTCAGGAAAATTTATTTATTGAAGGTAGATAGAATTGTTAGTAAAAGTGAATTTGTTACATTAAAAAGAAAATTTTTACCACTGGTGATCTTACAAAATATTTGAAAAGTAGAAACTACTAAGCATTAACTGTCTTGGCTCATAAAATACTGTCAAATAAACAAATTGCTAAGTTTTATTTGTTTTAACAAAATATAAAGTAGAAACATTTGAATAAAATGGGTATTTTCCTTGGCATTAAAAATCAAATGATTTGTCTCTCCAAGAAAAAATTACTCTGCCAACAACCAAAAGTAAGACAAAACAAAACACAGTTCCTGCAGCTAAAACTATGAAGTACATTGGCAATTAAATCTCTAAGAGGGGAGGGAAGGTGGGAGGGAGGCAGGGAGGGAGAGAGAGGGGGAGAGAAGGAAGGAAGGAAGGAAGGAAGGAAGGAAGGAAGGAAGGAAGGAAGGAAGGAAGACAGACAAAAGAAAGAGAAAGAAAGAAAAAGAAAGAGAAAGAAAAAAAAAGAAAGAAAGAAAGAAAGAAAGAAAGAAAGAAAGAAAGAAAGAAAGAAGAAAGAAAATGGCAAATTTCATAATTTCATCTTCAAAGTCAAGAGAAGATATTTACACTAAACAAAACAAAAAAAGGCAGTGAAACT